CTCTTGCTCCGTTTCTCCTTCCCATCAGGATTTTGACATGTAAGTGCAATCATCCGGCACGTTTTTCAAGCCAGTGGGGCCAGGATTCAGACCTTAGTCAGCCACGTGGGATTCAGCTTTCTGCACAGCACTCAACTGCTAATGCTGCAGGGCCAGCCCCAAACTGTGGCAATTTAAAGCTAAAATATGGAGGCCGGCTAGTGGCATGTTGGTCAGGGTGCTAGATTCCCACATGGCTGACCTCAGTTCAAGTCAGGCTTGCTTTCTCACTTTCCCTCTCCCTCTGTCTCACTCTGTCCCTCTCTGGTCAAATTAAATAAGTAAAAATAAACAAGTAAATAAAGTTAAATAAAATAATTCTAAGATAAAATATAATATAAAGTTAAATAAAATAATTCTAAGATAAAATATGGGGCCAACAGGTGATATGGGGGTTGAGGCACTGAACTCCCACATGGCTGGCCATGGTTCAAGTCCCAGATCTGGAAACTTGAAAGTCACTCCAGTGCATGTGTGTACATGCCCAGAATCGCAGGAGGAGACTGGAAGAGAAAGGATTATGGCGTGGTCCTCCCCCTGGGGTGTGATTTCCTACTTTCCCTCTCTCTACCTCTCTCCAGTGAGCACATGCGTCCTATGGCAAAACCTCTTTTTTTTTTTTTTTTTAAATAATTCTTTTTTTAAAAAAATATTTATTTTATTTCATTTAGTCATTCATTTTTTAATTTAACCAGAGAAAGACAGAGATTGAGAGTGAAAGAGAGAAGAAGTGAGAAAGCAAGCCACCAGATTCAGGACTCGAACCCTGGTCAGCCATGTGGGAGTATCCAGAGCCTTAACCACCATGCCACCTGCTGGTCCCCAGCAAAAACCTTTAAAAAAAAAAAAAAAAGGGAAAATATGAAGTGGATAGTTTGTTGAAGATGGTGAGTGGATGACTGAGGTTTGGGAGAATGGGCACAGGTCAGATTTGAGCAGGGCCCTTTGGAGTGAATAGGACTTAGGAAGATGGAAGGGGAGACTTTACCTCACCAGGGATGCTTTTATGTATGTTCCTTCAGTAACTTTTTTCTTATTTGTTCTTTATTTTAATAGCAAGCCAAGACAAATTGGCTAGGAACACAATGTTTAAAGAATGCCAGATGCGAAGTACCTGCAGCTTTGCTCAGCAGGGTGCGCGTGTACAAATAGCTGGTTTGTCTCAACATGTGTGCTCGTGTCTGTGGCCGTGCTCTGCGGTCAGTAGACTCCATCGAGGCTCTGCAAACGCACGTGCCTCTTCACGTACGGCAGACTACCTCGGAGGGACGTTGCTTCCCTCCCGTTTTCGGTGTGGACACCTCCTGCCAGAAGTGGGTTAGCATCTCGCACTTTTTGTTCTGGTAACAGCTTTTTAGAAGTCACGTGGGAGACTGTACAGAGGCCTGGTCTGTGCAGGATAGACAGCAGAGTGTAAGCTGTCGCAGGGTGAGATTCAAAACTGTGTCAGCAGTCTGGAAGGCTGGGACGAAAGCATGAAGGCATAATCTGGCCGATATAAATTTAGACTTAAAAAAAATCTTCTAGCAGAGTGGGGTTGGGGGAGACTGACGTGTTAGAAACCTCACAGGAGAAAGCCCTCGTTATCTCAGCTGACAGCAAGTACGAGTTTCCACTTGGGGACTAGATGCTCATCTTTTATCTAAGGAGGTGAAGGCTGTTGATTTTTGAGTGTTGATTTTCTATTCTGCCGCCTAACTGGTTTCTTTTATTGTTTGAGTTACTTTTATCATTCATTCTTTAGAGTTTTCAGGTATACTGTCATGCCAATATAATCCCAAGAGGACAATGGAGGAGAGGGGACTGTGGCAAATAGAGAAAGCTTGAAATCTTGTCCAGATTTTTGTTAAGTTTACCCATTTCTTCCATGAGTGAGAGAAAGACACACACCCCAGCTGGATCTTGATGCTGCAGGCAGCCCCAGCTTCAGCCAGCTTGGACCACGGGCGAGCACCTGCCTGGTGTACTGCAGGGGTCTGCTGAGTGCACCTGGGTCGGCCTCACAGCGGGCTGACCTTACCACTGCACCACCATCAGGTCCCTTCTTTAATTCTTTTTTTCTTTTTTAGGATGATTTATTTCATTATTATTTTTATTTTTAAATTTGCTAAAGGATACATTGCATCACCAGAGGGAGACAGAGACGGGGAGGAGGGTGAGTGAGGAAGCAAGCCATCAGGTCTGGGACTTGAACCGTGGTCAACCATATGGGAGTCCAGCGCCCTAACTACCTGCCAGCCCCTCTTTCTAATTCTTATGCTGTCATTGTTTTGTCTGCCCTGACCGACACCCCAGTCCAATGCTAAGTACTAGTGAGAGTAGGTATTCTTGCTGTATTCCTGGTCTTAAGTGGGAATGTGTCTTCTCTATGTTTCCCCAGTATGTAAGATGCTAGCATTAGGGAAGAAAATATCCATCAATTTCTGTTTCATTCTTATCAAGAATGGATAAGCCTGTCCGTGTGTAGAAGGTAGAGACACTGACAGCCCAGAGGACCAGATCAACAGGCTTATTGGGAGGATGGATTGATTGTTATATACCTTGATTATTTTTGTAATTTGGTCAGTTAGTGTAAGCAGTGACCACTTTCAAATTTGGAGGAAAAAACCTGCCCTTAAATAAGTGATAACGGGACCAGCAGGTGACTTAGTTAAAGCACTGGATCCCACATGGCTGACCGAGCGGTTGACATAGTCGACCACTTTAGTTTAAGTCCCAGACCTGGCAGCTTAAACTCTCTCTCGACATGTGTGCATGCATGCCCAAAATCCTAAAAGGAGAATGGAGGAGAAAGGATTATGGCATGGCCATCCCCCTTGGGGGGGTGATTTCACATCTTCCCTCTCTCTGTGTCTCTGTTTGTCTCCAGTGAGCACATGTGCCCTATAGCAAAAGTTAAAAAAGAAAGCAAACTCTATGTCCACTCCAAAAAATCAGTTTTGCTACAAGTTGATTTAAAAGTAAAACAAAATCCCCACCCCATGGAAAATTGCTGCACAGATTACAGGACTAAAGCACTAACACAGATGAATGCAGCATAAAAGTAATTAAAAAAAAAAAAGTACAAAGTCACTCCCTGTCAATATGCAAATAACCAGAAAATAAAGTTTGCTGCAGAAGCTAACCGCAGGCATTTTTACACATCTGGTTACAACAGCGGTTGAAGTGGTTTCCACATCCTCCTCTGAGGAATGCTACCGCTGGCTTGTAAGCGGCAGCACACGTGTCTGTCTGCTGCTCCAGTCTCTCATTTTGCTTGAAGTCAAACCCTGAGTCTCCCAGTCCTCTTGGTTTGCTCTAGACCAACAGGGTGGTCCTGGGAGCATACTCAGGGACAAGCGCTGCTCTCAGCAGGAGACCAGATAGGAGCTCTCGGTAAGAGGCAGACCACGCCTGCCTGGGCCTGCATCACAGTCATTTCTGGGGCCTAGGAAGGAGCTGCTCGGGATGCGCCCTGAGATTTGACAGATTCAGCATCGGTGTATTTGTTTGGAGCGCTGCTGTAGTTACATTGAACAGTCTGGTTTGAGAGCCGGTGGGGCAGGCAGACAGCAGTGATGGAACCAAGCCTGGGGAGGATCTCGCTGAAGGAAGACTTCCTGGAGGTGGTGACTTCTGAGCCAGAGTCCCACAGCACATGGAGAATTACTAGCCAAGGAGGAGGATGCTCCCCCTGGAGGGAAGGCAGTGGATTTGACAAGGCTGCAAGTGTTCAGAAGTGGCAGGGCCAGGGAGTATGAGGGGGGATGCTGTGCAGAATGGGGAACAGGTAGAGGCCCCAGTGCTGAGGAGAGCGACTGGAGCTAGTGTGTAAGTCAGAGTTTCTCAAGGCTGGGCCAGGCCTCCATGAGAGTATCCTGTGAGCCTGAGAGTGCAGATTCTCAGGGCCCTGCCCGGCCAGACGGTCTGAAGGCAGGGCCTGCCGTTTGCAGTTCTGGCTGGTGCCTAGGGAGGCCGTGGCACTGTGCAGTCAGAAGTGCTGCTGTGACAGGTGGGGACCCCAGAGTTTCCTGCGGATTTGTTCACCGCTGTGTGTCTGACGACAGCTTTGCAGAAAACCAGTGTTTTTGTTTTTTTTTTTTTTTTTTTGAAGGTTTTTCCTTTAGGGCGTGTGGTGTGCCAC